AACGCTATTTTCGTATTTTTAACTGAAAAATGACGTCAGTATTTGTCACGTGTGGAGAATATTGTTATCATATCTGTGTTGATGTATTCAACCATTTTCTTTTGATTTTATGAATCTGTTGTGCATATTTGTTTGTAAGAGCAGTAATTTTGTTAAGAAAGGTGAAATGGGGAAAAAACCTGGGCGTAGATTAATATTTGGGTAATTTTCTATGGCGGCACTCTCCAGAATTTTCCTTCTGAGTGAGTTATTTTCTTTTTTTATGAGTGTAGCAGGTTCCAAATACTGACGTTATTTTTCAGTTAAAAATATGAAAATAGCGTTTCTCTACATTCCAGTTGCTAGGTACATTCTGTTTTTGTTTTTATTAGTTACTTTATTCAATTAATTTCATTTTCGTATTTTGCTTTGATGAAGTCCACATTGGACGAAATGCGTCAGCAATTACCAGTTTTCCTATTGTTTTTTTTATTCATATATATATATATATATATATATATATATATATATATATATATATATATATATATGTATCCATTATTCAAATAACTGCAAATTCTTGTCCAAATCGTGTACGTATTAAATTTTTGTAACGACTAAGCTGTCGTTTGATAGGAGTTAATTTTATAAGATTTTTTGTCCTGTGTAGGTAAATCTTTTTTTATTTTCCTTTACTGAAAAAAAGGTAGGTGTTTGCCTTTATGCCTTTTTCATTTTTTTGATTAGGTAAGTTTAAAAAATTTAAGGCAATTGTCTGTTTCACCAAAATTTGTTTTTTGCTTTTCCTATATATATATATATATATATATATATATATATATATATATATATATATATATAGTAATACTGGTAATAAATGTATTGTGGTATATAATCCGAGTTGATCCTATGTAATATCAAATTTTATTATTTGTTGTTATTTTTTTTAAACCTCCCTATTGTAAGTCTCCATTTATGGTTAGAGGCCCAAATATTTTTTTTCTTTGCTTATTTTATTTTCCCCCTCCCATGAAGGTTGAGTTATCAATGGTTCTTTTTTAAAATAAAATTATTTTTTTTATGTTATACATTAATGCATGTTACGAACAAAGGTTATCTAAACCTGGTGTCCATCTTCTTTCATTTGTGTTTTAGCTGTCTGAAGATCATGTGAATATGAAACTTGAATAACGACTTGGGTTTACCTATGCTAGTCGTTAATGTTGTCAAGCATATTTTGTCTAGATAATCTAGGCGTTGAGCACTTTCCTTTACTGAGTACGTAGGTGTTTGCCTGTAGGAGATTTTTTTTCTTTTTTCTTTTCTTGTTCGATATTTTCTTTTATTTAAGGTGTTAAGGTGTTAAGACAACCAGAAAACTCTTGGAATTAGTGTCAAAGACTGAGAAAAAGAAGCAGATAGCAAGTCTCGTTGGGGAAAGTTAGTTTTTGATGGCTGCAATCGTTTTGATGCCAATAGGACTGAGTATTTGAAGTTGGAAAGAGCTCTTGGGAAATTTGGTGTAGACTCCATCCCAGAAGATATTCAATCTGAGCTTGATACTACATCTACGGGTGGATCGTTTTATCTCATGCCTGATTTGCTAGTTATCAAAGATCACATGAAAATCGGCAGTCCATTACCGATTATATGAATGTCCTTCCTGGGAGACCTGCATGTCGGCTTTGTGATAAAATTTGCAGGCTGACTCTTGGCTGAAGCGGCACTCATTTTCCAGCGGCACTCATTTTCAAGACTTTCCAAAAGTCTTTCGAGTGTCGTATACCGAGTGTAACAGCAAAATTGTCAAAATCATAAATCACCATTCCACAAAATGTTTAATAGCTAAAAAAAAAACAACACTGCGAATTGTATTTCTTTTTTCCAGGTTTTTAGATAAGACGTTTACCAAAATCGTTTTGTGTCAGAACCACTATGTCTTCCCAAATGAGCAATGGTGAGAGGAAAAAGATCATTCAGGCCTTCAGTAATGTTACTGACATCCATACTCTGCTTTCCATCTTCAAAGTCCATTCAAGAACCATCAAGTGAACGGTGTATGTTTAAAAAAATGATGGAACAGTAGAGAGGAATACTGGCTCAGGAGGTCACAACAGGAAGAGGGATAACTATTGCAACTTAAGTCTAAAGTAATCAATTAGAAAATTTCCAACTCAATTCATAAGAATTTTTGCCCGTGAGAGAGGCGTTTCTATTATATCGATTATGTTTTATCATGAGCCGTTCCAAGCGTCGTATAATGGCTTTAGTTTTTATCTTAAAATAAAGACAAGAACTGTCCAACATTTGGACATTTCTTTATCATATTGGTCATTGATCTAAACCTTTGACTCACATGAGCCATCATCAGAGTGTTTATATGGACATTACAACAGAGATCTTCATCGACAAAGATGACATCCTGTTTACATAGAAGTTTGCTATGCGACGATGCGTAAATTCGTCATGTGATTCTATGACGTCATACATGACCACATGAGAAAGAAATGTTATCAACAGAATCATATGTTTAAATGCATTATAATATGTTGTGACTGGTTTGAAATATAATTTTGTTGAGTGTGGGTTGCTTTGTTTTAATGTAGATGGCCTCCAACATCTGAAGGTTGTTTTTATACTGTATTTATGTGCAAGTATTGTTGTGTTATCAACTAATATCTGAAAATAAATCTCAAATATTATATTTAAAAACATATGTTTGAATAATAATCTGATATATCTCCTATATATATATATATATATATATATATATATATATATATATATATTAAAGGAAAAATACTAAAAACTTTTCATAAATCTAAAAAATTTCTTTCCTATTTTATCAATATATTTATCAAATATATATATATATATATATATATATACACACACAAAAACAGTCATATATATATATATATATATATATATATATATATATATATATATATATATATATAATATCAATTGACAAAGGAAGACATTAATCCATAGAGAAACTTCAATACGCAGATGTAACATATAATAAAATCTGAATAAACAATTTTATAAAATACAAGTCCGCAATTTATTTCATGAATAAACAAAATTTATTTATTTTTGCATATTCATGAAATAAATTAAAACTAATAGATATTAAATATTTATTCTAGAATCAATTATCAATATATATATATATATATATATATATATATATATGCATATAAATATATATATATTTTATCAATGCACCCATACACGCACATGCTTGTTTGATTTTTACAAAATAAATTACTATGTAGAAATCCAAATATTGAGCAAAATTAAAAATATATATGAATTATTGTGAATAACCTAAAGGAAATTAATGAAAAATCAGTGAAATATATACAAGGGTCGTATAAATTATGTGGTCAACAATGAATCTTAAACACTTTGGTAAAGGGGTGCACACTTTACCCATTTTGAAAATTCATTAAAACGGACGTGTGTGTTTGCTATGTTATGCGAGCTTGTTTATGAATGCATATAAATGACAGATAATATTTATGATGTACATATATATATATATATATATATATATATATATATATATATATATATATATATATTAGAAAATTCTATCTCGCCATCTTCCACACACTGCGTATATCATTTTGGTTTTCTTTTGCTACAATAGACGAAGCAATTATCTATCTATCTAAAAAAATATTTCACATAATATTCCATGGTACATAATTTATTCCATTGAAATTTGATGAATTGGATCGTATTTTTGTGATTCCAATGGAATAAATTATGACCATGGAATATTAGTGTTTATTTTCTTTATTACATATCCTTAATAGTCCTGGACATTGAGTTCTACCTGGATTCTATCCTTAAAATGTTTTTTTTATACAAAATATATATGTATGTGTATGCATGTATGTATATATATTTTGCATATGTATGTGTATATTTATCCAAAAATATTCTCTCTCTCTCTCTCTCTCTCTCTATATAAAATATATATATATATATATATATATATATATATATATATATATATATTCCAAAATATTCCAAGTCAGTTTTTTTTTTTACTAATATTCTGAATAAATCAATGCCTCAAAAAGTATTCAAGATAGAGGTTTACTGAGTTATAGCAGTCTAGAAAAGGACAAGCGTTAGGCGTATAGAGCTGAAGTAGACATTACAAGGAATCGGAAACCAAATCCTGAACAAGAAACAAGAGACAAAACACTACTCCTGTTTAAAAGACCTGCAAAAAAAACATTTCAACCGGACAATATGTGAACCTATCTAAGAAATAATCTGATACGCAAAACGCAACTTCACGCATATTCAAATACAAAAGAAGGATACATAGTTTCACACTCAGGAAACAATTTAAAAGAATCATATATATATATATATATATATATATATATATATATAATGAAATTGGACTTCTCTATCAAGAAAGTGAAATTCTCTCCCAATTTCTTGTTTTCCAGTCAACTTTTCCTTCATTTGTTCAAATGTAATGCCAATCGTTATCTCCTCTCTTCTTAATTCTTGTTCTTCTAATGGTCACTGTCGTTAATCGTTTTTTTCTCATCTTTTCTAACACATCTTATGTCTTTATTGCCTAGCTTGGGGTGAAATGATTAAATAAAAACCTTCCGTACAGGACCATATTTGTTGAGGTCCTAAGAGATTGCAAACACATCTTGTATTAATCTGATGAAGCAGTATGTTTCCAAAGTCGGCATAAGAACTTATATATAATGTAAAATATATAGAGTGCTTACGGACATATCATACTGAAACATGATCACCGAAGTTAAGCAACGTCGACCCTGGTCAGTATCTAGATGAGTGGCCGTTTGGGAATGTCAGGTGTTGTAAGGTTGTGTATGACTACATCACGTTGAAACACCAGTTCTCGTACGATCACCGAAGTTAAGCAACGTCCAGCCTGGTTAGTATCTAGATGAGTGACCGCTTGGGAATCTGAGGTGTCGTAATCTTGGATATTGCGGTTGCTATGGATTATGACTACATCACGTTGAAACACCAGTTCTCGTACGATCACCGAAGTTAAGCAACGTCCAGCCTGGTTAGTATCTAGATGAGTGACCGCTTGGGAATCTGAGGTGTCGTAATCTTGGATAATGCCATTTGCTATGGATTATGGACTAAATCACGTTGAAACACCAGTTCTCGTACGATCACCGAAGTTAAGCAACTTCCAGCCTGGTTAGTATCTAGATGAGTGACCGCTTGGGAATCCGAGGTATCGTAATCTTAGATATTGCGGTTGTTATTGATTATGACTACATCACGTTGAAACACCAGTTCTCGTACGATCACTGAAGTTAAGCAACGTCGACCCTGGTTATTACCTAGTTTGGATTTGCTTGTGGTGTAATGGACGACGTCTCGCAGCTGGAAATTGATGAGTCAAAGATTGATTGATCGCTATTTTTCACGGCTGATCAACCCTTTCTGGGTTATATTAAGCCGAAACATAATTTGGATTGGAAGAATAATTCTTTGAATGCGATTGAATATTATATTAACAGTCGTTTTCTCAGATACAACTACTACTGATATACATATATATGTATATATTATTTTATATGCGCAGTACTTATCAGTGATAGAGCTAACATATCCAGTTATATTTATATAAGTTTGTGACACTGGAATTTGTCTGATGATCGTTAAACTCACGTTCACAAACTGACATCCATACATCTGAAAATATATTTAAAAAAAAGGAAATTAAATGGAGATTGCATAATTTTGTAAAAAAAAAAAGAAAAAAAGAAAAAAAGAAAAAAAAGAAAAAGAAAAAAAAAAGAAGGATATAAACGTATATAAATATATTTTTTATTATAAAGAGGCATGTATTTTATGTGTGTGCGTTTCAGACACACTGATATATATATATATATATATATATATATATATATATATATATATATATATATATATATATATATATATAGCCAAAATATATATTTGAGCGAGAGAAGAAAGAGATAGATTTCTTCAAATTAATTCAGCCCCTGGAAGGCTTTAATGCCCCTATGACGCAAGGAGGCTAGTGGTATTAAAAAAAGAATGAGACAGTGACTTGCAGAGGTTTTTGGTGATGTTTAGAAAAAATTTAACTGGGTTGATTCTATGCCCCCAAGACTCAAGTAGCTAAAATTCTCTCTCATACTGAGAAATTTGAGATTTTTGCCCTTTTAAATATTTAAAAACAGATGACACATGAAATGAACACTTTATTCGAGTTAAATATAAATTAAATTTTTATTTCACTCTTTGATTGGATGCCACCCCCACCCCACCCCCCGATATGGATGCTCGGGGCCATCGCACCCTCAGTCGCACCCCTCATCGCAACCTTCTGCACGCTACTGGAATGAGAAGACTTCAGAAGGAACTGGAAATCCAATACTAAATAGGAAACAGGGACGAACTGTTCAAAAAGACAGGGAGGAATGATATAAATACACATACACATGCGCGCGACATTACAGAGGCACACACACACTATATATATATATATATATATATATATATATATATATATATATATATATATATAAATTATATATATAAGATAAGATATTACATTACAACATATTTATCTATATATACATATTAGTATCGGATATTATATTAGAACACAAACACACACACACATATATATATATATATATATATATATATATATATATATATATAAATTAATTAGTAATTTATTTATGGTTAATGGCGAAATCACTTCGCTAACAGGATTGAATAATACTCCTAGAATAATACGATTCTTATATGAGTTCTATATTTGAGTTGTTGTCAGATGGAATTGACGAGCCAATTAGTTTCAACATTTTTTTCAACAATATAATTTTTATGATATAATATATAAGCTGCAAACTCTTATATATTTTCTTATTATTCAAGGAATTGATAGTAAGTTAATGCCTCATAAAGTCTTGTTAGCAAAGTGATTTCGCCATTAATCTCATTAACATTGCTAATTAATTCTTTGTATAAAGTATCTCTTTATGAAGAAGCTGCATACTCTAATATATATATATATATATATATATATATATAGAGAGAGAGAGAGAGAGAGAGAAGGATAGATAAAGAGAGAGATAGAGAAGGATAGATAAAGAGAGAGAGGGAGAAAGAAAAAGAGAAGGAGAAAGAAAGAGAGGGCATTAATTTTAGTTTAATCCGGTCCCTGGTCATAAACTGATATATACGTATGTTCGCTGTTACGAGCGAAAGCATACAAATAATATTGTTCTAAGAATCGATACTCTCTCTGCAAATAAAAATATCAAGTGATACTTGAAGCAACAAGTGCTTAAGAAGGGCAGTCCATTCAATCTTTCTATTATAATTATGTACTTTTAGTTGATACAAGGAAAAGAGCGTAAACAAAAAGCTTATATATATATATATATATATATATATATATATCAGAAAAAGGAAATTAAATGGAAATTGTATAATTTTGTAAAGAGGAAAAAAAAGAAGGATATAAACCCACATAAAGGGGCATGTATTTCTTGTACGTATGAAGAATTCGATTTGCGACCGCGCAGTTTGGCTTCGGACTGCAGAGAAAGCGCTTATTTTTGCAAAAAGCAAAAACAAAAGAACACATTGTCAACCAAGCGCATCCGAACGCATCTACATCACCCTACGCACATGCCCCCCCTAGCCAACATAAGAAATAATTATATATATATATATATATATATATATATATATATATATATATATTCATAATTCCATATATGCGCAAAACGCAATTCAGACAGATAAACGTTTTGTTATTTATATACAAAGTGCTATGGATAAATTACGCAAAAAATTAAATTAAAATTGACGTCTCATTTTAACATATATACTTACCAAAATTGCACAAAAATATCTTCAAATACTAAAAAGTTAATTCATCCAATGAAATCACCATTAGCCCCAGACGACTTCGGAATCTCCTGCAAACTCTTCTGGTCTGTCTCCTTGTTTAATATGGTGAATGCTGCCATAATCCTTGCCTTTGGTTCACCTTTGTTGTTACAAGGAGTTTTGTTGGTCTCTCTCTGAACTGCCCCACCCCACATAATAATTAAAGAGATTGCAGTCTGAGGAGTTAGGTGGCAATATGTAAGGGGTGATGTTGTTGCAGAAATTATCTGATAGCCATGACTGCGTTCTCCTGCTTACCTGGCACGGTGCAGAGTCCTGTTGCCAGACAAAGGTTCTTCAAAACCCAGGGCAGCAATACCTCCTCAAGGCACTTAATGTAGGCCTCCTCGTTGAGCCTGAGGCCCTGTGGGAAGATCAATGGAAGCTCAACATCGCCATCACGAGTGATCACTTGAAACAACTTCGTAATCACCATTAGACTCATCCAACTCTTTCCGAATTCTCTTTACTGTTCTCAGATTGGCACCCAAATACTTTGAAAGTATCTTATTGAAGCTTCCGGTGCGAATGCCAAGTAGTACAGCATGTCATTTCCAAATTTCTGGCGGAGTGAATTGCGTCATGGTGCTCTTTTTCTTACAGACGATGCCCAAATGACCCTATTATAAGCATCTTATAAAAGATGATAAAAAAAAACGCGCATGCACGAAAATAAAATATGAAATGGTGACAATTTATCCATCGCATCCTGTATACGTTCAAGGCAGTGATATTAAGTGGTGTCGAAGCAGGTTATTACTTAGATGGGGAACTGCTTGGGAGAGTAGTAATTCTGTTGGAAAGGTGATATTGGGAAAAAAACAGGGCGTAGATTAATATTTGGATAATATTCAATGGTAGCATTCTCGAGGATTTACCTAACAGAATTACTACTCTCCCAAACCAACGTACATAACTGTATCAAGAAATCAAAAGAAAATGGTTGAATCAGTTAGCACAACAATAAAAACAATATTTCTACACACGAAAGTATTTGACGTAATTTTCAGTTGTCAAAGGACATTTTGATTATTGTTAATAGTTACTTTGTTTTTAATAAATTCATTTCGTGTTTTGCCTTGAAAAAGTCAACACTGGACGAAACGCGTCGGCTAATAATACAGTTTTCCAACTGTCTTTAAACTATACGTATTGGCTGGTTTAAAAAGGTAACTTGAAAATTATTATAATCATTGTATATTTAAAAATTTAATAACAGTTTTTACAAAAGATCATAATTTCAAAACAATCTTTCAGAAAATCTACAAGTCCCACACAAAATTTTTTTTCAACTTACCACATATATATATATATATATATATATATTATATATATATATTTATATATATATATAATAAAAATCCTTTTATTCGTTTGCATGTATTTGAGTGTTTAAACTTAAATTTTGTTATTCGATCCCTATCAGAGAGCAAATTTTTTTTATTAAAACTTCTAAACACGGGCCGGTAAAAAAGTAATCAAAGTTTAAAAGAGAACAAATGGGGTGTCTATTTCAAATACGAATAGTCAAAATAATAACATATTACATATTATATTTATATATATATATATATATATATATATATATATATATATATATATATATATATATATATATATATATATATATATATATATTGATGCATGTTTCATTAAATAATATAGAAAAGTCTATTTATTTTCATATATTGTTCCTTTCATATTGTCTGAATAACGTTATCATTGAAAGACGAAAGGAAATCACCATATTGATACATGTTTTAAATCCCATCTAAATTTCGGCTTACATAAGCCATTATCAAAGATGACAATTACTTTTCAATATATCAACCAATACACGGACGAAACAATAATGATAGTCTGTTTTTGTTGCATGAAAAATTTCAAAGCATCGACTAACTCGTGTATACGAGACGCAGAAGAGAAAATCGTGTCGCAGCTCGTGACATCACACATGACCACGCGTAATTTGAGATGGAGACTAATGACGAGTGTGAGTCTAAAAGTGAGCATTCATTGAAACCAATAAACTCCTGATTTTCTTGGCTTGGAGATGTTGATCAACTAAGTCCATTATCTGAAGTTTACGGCGGAAAAATATCAAATGGATCTATGGTACGAACTAAATTCAAAAGACATTTTAATACTTAAATTTTTTTGCTAAGTGTGTTGTGATATTTTCATTTGCTCCTACACCCTTGTGCAAATTAACTGAAACAATCGCTTTAGTTTCCTTTCTTTCGCCATACGGTCTGTTTTAGACGCACTGGAGTGACAGTGTGTAATCGATTTCTATTTTTTA